TTTTTTTTAATTGAAGGCTTTATTAGTAAGAAGTGAAAATTTATTTTCTGCTTTATTTACAGTTGTGCCATCAATACCATGCTCTCGATTAGCACTGATAGGAAAAATTATTCACCCTCAGCAAGTCATCCATTCTTTTGTTCATGCTGTGATGGGAATGCTGGTGGCTTGGTGTGCTACAGTTATGACAAAAGGCAGGTTCCAGTTTCTTGCTGTGTCCTGCACGCCTTCAGAAAGGTAATTGTGTATTTATGTTTTAAAGATAAACAAAGAATTTTTATTATAAGATGTATTTACCAATAATTTCTTTCAAAAAACCCTAGAACTTGGGTAATCTCAAAAATAAGTAATTATATGTTGATTTTTCTTTATTAAAGAACAGAAAATATCACCTTTTTTCTGCATAGAGAAATAACTGGACCAGAAAAACTAAATTGCTGGGATTCTTACTGGAAAGCTGAATGGTGACAAATTGGTTGTCACTTGAATTAAGTCTTAGTCTTATGGTTAATGGGACATACTTCATAAATGCTGGAAGCATCCTAAATGCATAAAGTACAAAAACAGGTGGTGGGATTCCTACTTCAGCAAAAATATACTGAAATACCACCACATGTACTGATCAGGAAAGCAAAATCAAACTTCTCATTTGAACTTCCTAATGCTTAAAAGAGTTTATCTCTTTTGAACGCAGAATTAATTCTAAGTTTTCTGTTTTAGCCTAGATGATGCTGTTCCTCAGACGTGCCTAAACGAGTATCACCTCTTCTTTCTACTTTCTGGAACTTTCTTGGGATACAGTTATAGCCTTTTCTATCTTATCAACAATATGAATTATTTGCCATTTCCAATCATACAGGTAAGAGGTTTAAACACCTTTGTAGGAGGACGTGTCTAAGTAAACCAGTGATCAAAAAAAGCCTGGATAGTTTGTATATCTGACGATGGCAGTAGTGGTCTGTGGGCTGGCTTTCACTGACAGATGAAGCGTGCACTCAGCTTTAAATGCCAGCAGTGCTCACCTTCCTTCTTCCTGCTCAGCTCCCTTCAAATGAGCACAGGCATTGGGATGCTGTGACTGCAACATTTAGACTTAGACCCATCTGATGTGTGTTAAAAGCGGGCTGAGGTGGCAGGTGAACTACAGCCAAGAGACAACATACGCTGGATATCAACTCCTGGAACTGACAACAGGGTCACCTAAAAGCTGAAAATCTTGTGTGTTTAAAAATAAAGAAAGGCATATTATCAGTTGTAACTGGGTACCAACTCAGATTACATTAAATACGTATTCTTTGAGGGTTTTTTCCTTTTTTTTGCATTAGAGTTTATAGTGTCTTTCCTTGTGTATAGAGTCAGTTTACTTCATCCTCCATTTTTTACTGCTACAAATAGGAAAAAGGATGAGAACTAGAGATGATTATAAAATAGCAGGAAAGCCTGGGAGAATAAATAGTATGTGTAACAATTGGAATTGCCTTAAACAAATTTTTTAATTCATCTAGACTTCAATACTAAACTTTTATTGCTCGTTTTTAGCAATACAAGTATCTACGTTTCAGAAGATCTTTGCCTCTCCTGATCAAACACAGTTGTGTGGAATCATTATATTTTGTTAGAAACTTCTTTGTTGCATATTACTTTTTTGGTAAGTGTTCCTAAAGTACTCTCTTTTTTTTTTTTTTTTTTTTTTTTTTTTTTTTTTTTTTTTTTTTTTTTTTTTTTTTTTTTTTTTTTTTTTTTTTTTTTTTTTTTTTTTTTTTTTTTTTGTTAATTCCTTTATTTTGAAAACTTGAATCAGTCAGGCCTGTTATGTTATTTTTCAGCCTTTTAGGTAACTTGCTGAAGACACGTAGACTTGTTTAAACAAATAGATCTAACACAGGAGGAAAAGGCACAGGGTTTGTACAGCAGTATTTGCAGGATGGCAGTTCTTGCAGCCTCACAGAAGTCTGTTTAGCATAAGAGAAATGTCTCTTTCCAAAGAGATGAACACCTTCTATAAGAATTTATTGTCTGGCTGATACATGATAAGAAGGTGACAGTGCTCTAAGAAGAAGGGAGTGGGGAATAATAGGTTTATATTCTGAAGTCTGTTTGTTCACTGTGTTACTGCCTCTGGTGGTCTCTTCTGTGCAGGAAATCTCATTGTAGGCAGCCGTGAAATAACCTGTAATTGCTTGTAAATGGAGCAACCAAATTCTAATCAGCTGGTGGTTTACAATGTGCATGCATCAAGTCCTGATGCTTCGGGCCGCTCTTTACATACCTGTCCTGATTTGTGCAAAGAGGTTATAAATCTGAAAACAGTGCAATTGAAAAAAAGTTTTTGTCTGTAATTATATTCCCTTTTTTCTTTAAATATCCCCAGATACATATAGATTAATAAACAACTCCATGCCTTGGGACTGTTCCCTTCACTGCCTGGTGTTAAAGTGCAGTGTCACAGAGCTGAACCTGACACACCAGCAGTGGGCACGGCTTCACTACATATAATGTTGCCATGTTTTCTCTATTTTTTTAGGTAAAAAACAGCACTTTGGCTTTATTCTCAAGTGCTCTACATGTTTTTTGGTGGGAGCTGGGGAGACAAAGGCAGGATGGCTCCCTCCCATACGAAAATGGCATTTTGTCTTAAAAATCTTTGCTGATGAAGATGTTTGTATTGGACTTGCTAAAAATAAGGAATGTTATGGTTGTAATTATCCTCCTAAACAATGTCAAAATATGCAAGAATTATTTCCACTTTGTTTACATCGGGGATAAATTAGGAGTGTGAGGGTTCTATATCAGTTTCCATTAAGTCTTTAAAAGCACTTTGCTGCTGCCAGAGCTGTAGTGAAAATTAGTATTAAACTACTATTAACCCTCTTTTGTAAGTGAGAAAACACATTTAATTCAGTGCTGAGAAGCTGGCAATAAAAGAGTAGGTCTAAATCCCTGTGTATAGTTGCTGGCCTAGAGGCTTTTTTTCATTCTCTTGTTTCTATTTCTTGAAAAAAAACACAAAAATCTCCTAAGGCAGATTGTTTCCTTGTCCATGTGTGTTACAAGACCAGTCTCTTGTCTCTGCATTAATTTCGTTTTTGTCTTCTTTTTGGCCTGTTGTGTGTGTGTTGCAGCATAACATTTGTTTCAGTGTTTCTTTTTGATTCCCTAGGTTATATCCCAAAGGTTTGGATATGTACGACGATGGATCTTCATACAGACAGGTAGGTAGGACATTGTGCTGGAAGCTTGGAATATTGCTGACAGCTCCCTTTGCTGAGGAGGTCCAGCTTAGCAGCTGCCTCTTTGTAGCAGGACTTGGTTCCTTGCCCTCCCACACGGAATGTGGGGAGTGTTGGGTGCTTCTGAAAAGGAACCAACAACCATATTGTCATTAAGATAGCAATTAAGAAATCCTCTGTTACTTTCATCTCTGTAAGTCTCTAAAGTATTAGAAATGCCAGTCTCTCCAAATTACATAAATGTGTTGTATCTGCTTTTCTGTGGTGGTTTTTTTTTGGTGAGGCATCTTTCTTTTTATATGGCTGATTTATTTTAAAATAGGGAAGCTGGAATCTTAACACCTTAATTGACTAAAACTAAAACTGTAATCATTGTTACTTATTTCATATTTCTTTTCCTTAATTTCATTATATTTCTTAATTTCATCAGTTACTGAAAAATCAAAGAACTGGTATCTCAAGCATATTTAAGAAATCATTTTTGGAAAAAAAAAACCCTACTAAAGTACTTGTAACTTCTTGGTTTTATCTCCAGTAAATTGCATCCTCTTGACACTCTGAGTGGCTTATTGGATGTCTCCTTGTTTTACCATACCTGGTTGTGTGGTGTGTTTCTTCTGATGACCTGGTACATTGCATGGTTGCTCTTCAAAATCTATGCTACAGAGGTTAGTACTTGTGACAG